TGAGGGCGTGGCCTGAGCTGTGTCCGGACGAGGGGCCTGAGGGCGTGGCCTGAGCTGTGTCCGGACGAGGGGCCTGAGGGCGTGGCCTGAGCTGTCTCCGGATGAGGGGCCTGAGGGCGTGGCCTGAGCTGTCTCCGGATGAGGGGCGTGTCCACCTGGTGCTTGGGTGAGGTCCTGCAGCAGCAGATCTAGGCTTCAGTGGATGGAGCCAGGACGGGATGGGCTGATCAGGGAAATCTCGACCGCATTTCAGGGGAGGAGCCCAGGAGGCAAGGAGCTGAGCGGCGGTGGAGGGGCTTGGGGGGCGACTGCCCAGATCAAGCCCCCCCAAGTAAGGCCCGAGAGGCGGGGGCTTCAGAAATGAAGTTCCTGGAGACTCTGGCCCATGCTGTGTCCTTGACCTGGGAGGAGGAGCGAGCGGGAGCACTCGCGAGTGTGGACGGCCCTTTCCTCCAGGGAACTTTGGATTCGCCGGGGTCGGAGCGGGGCTGGGGCCCCGAGAACCCGAGTCCGAAACCTCCCGTGCGTGGCCCTGGCCGGGCTCTCCGCCCCTCGCAGCTTCAGTACCGCCCGTGTGAGATGTCGGGGACCCCTGGACTGCAGGGCCCTCAGGCTGCCAGCGCGGGCCACAGGAGTTTCGCTTCGGAGGGTCTGGGCGGGGCCGAGAACTGGTGTTTCCAGCGAAGTCCCGGGGACGCCGCGGCCGGGCGCGCTTCGCCGAGGGTCCCGCGCGGAGAGCGCCGCTCCGTTCCCCAGGCCGGGGCCCCGCGGGTTGCCGGGCAGAGCCGGGCGGCGCGCGGTCCCATTGGCGCAGGTGCGCGCGCCCCGCCCGACAGGTAGCCGCCCGCGCCTCGCCATTGGGCCGCGGCCGGGGTCCCCCGAGGATTGGCCCAGGTGGCGGCCCCGCCTCGCCCTCATTGGCCGCAGGTGCCACCGCCCGCCCCGGACCGCCCGCCCTGGGGATTGGCCACCGGCTCCACCTCGGTCCGCCATGTTCGGACACCGCCCCCGCCCTCGCCGGACGGTCCGGCCCCGCGCGCCCCGCTCCTTCACCGCGAGTCCCACCCGCCCCGCGCGCACCCCCCAGCCCCGCGCGCCGCCGGAGTTCCGCGTGGTTGGCCGGCCCGGCGCCGTCGGTCCCCCTGCGCGCTGCCTTCCGCGTTCCGCCGCGGCCCCTCCGGGCTCCCCCGCCCCGCCGCCCGGGCCCCGCGCCATGGCCGGAGCTCCCGGGGCGCCGCGCTGAGGGCGGCCGGCGGAGCGCGCCATGCCCAGCAGGACCGGCCCCAAGATGGACGGGAGCAGCGGCCGCGTCCGCCTCAAGGCGCACTACGGAGGGTGAGGCGGGAGCAGCGGCGGGAGGTGCGGGGACTGCGCCGTCGGGGCTCCTGCGCGGGGGGAGGCGGAGGCGGCGGCGGGATCGCGGCGGGCCCGGGCTGTCTCGGGAGGCCCCGCCCCCCCGAGCGTCACCCGCGGACACCCGTGGGCAGCGCGGGGCCCCTTCCCGGAGCGGGTTCCCGGCTCGCACCCGCGCCGCGCGCTCCTCCCCTGTCTCGGTCGGGGACGTTTTCGCCGGAAAGTTGGGCGGCGGCGTTCAGGCCAGAAACCTGTGGGAACGAAACGTTTCCATCAAGTTGTGGAAAGTCCTGGCGGGTGTCTCAAAATCGGCGTTTTCTCCACTTTCTCCCGTTGTTCCCGGCTGTGGGTCTCGCTTGAGGCCGAGTCCGAGGCCCCGGGGCGCGGGCGCGGCGGCTCCGGTGCGGCCCCCGGCAGGGCTCGGGGGTCGGGCGGGGACCGGGGCGTTTGGGGGCGACGGCGTGGCCGAGCTGTCGCCGGGGCTGCTGCCTGGCGGGGGCGCTGGGCGGGGTCGGAACCGGGGGCTCCTGGACGCCGGACCTCAGCTTCTGGGCCGCGCTGCGGGGGCGGAGGGGGCGCTCCGGGCGGCCGGGCTCAGGCTCCGCGGAGGGGCCGCTGTCCCCGAAGTGCGGGCGGGGGAAAGGCGGGACCCGCGAGTGTTCCTCCTCCTCCGGCGCGCGCGTCTCCAGGAGCCCCGAACTCGGACTTCGGCTCCCGCGGGGTGGCCGCTGCTGCCTGTGGGGGAGGGGAGCGGAGTGCGGGCTTCGGGTTTTAGGTTTCGCTGGGGGGTCCTGGGGATCCCGAAGGTCTTCTCCGGCCCGGCGAGCACTCAGCTCCCGCGGTGGCGGCCTGACCCCCAGAGGCAGGGACTGGCTGTGGGGCGAGGAGGGAGACGGGTGACATCTTTCCCGGGCCACGCAACTCAGGACTGTGCCCGGGAGGTCTCTGTGCCGCCCTGTGAATCTGCGGGGCTCAGCTCCTTGCGAATCTTGTCTTGGGGTCTCAGGTCAGGTTTCGGGGGCTGCTTGGCCCCTGGTTGTTGAGGAGGCTCAGTTGTCTCTTCTTTGGGAAGGTTGGGGCGTCTGCAGCCCCCCTGGCAAGCACTGGAACCCTCGGGGTGCGGTGGGGGTGAGTTTGGTGTCAGAGCTGGAAGAAAGGGATTTCTGGGGGACGGACCCCGAGGGTTCCACGGCAGCCATGTGTTCTGGCCTGGAAGTCAGCGGATTAAATGTGTCATCGTTGAGGTCCTGGCTGTCGGATTTGTCCAGGGACCTGGGCTTCTGTCTCATTCCCAGCCTGGAGCCACGACACTCGGCCGCAGGGGATGGTGCGGGGGTCAGGGGCGTCCTGGGAGGGGGTGGTCCACATCCGCAGGGCTGCAGGGGCCTGGACTCTTCTGCATTTCGGGGCGGGATTCCCAGGATCAAGTCTCGGGGCAGCGCCCCCAGAGTTCTGGGCCGGCCCATCCTCCCTCTCCCCTGCTTCGGCCCCTGGGAGCACTTTGGTTGTGGAGCGGGTGTAATTCCACCCGATGACTCTGGTTTCCCCGGCTGGAGAGACCGAGCTCCCACCCCTTCCTCTTTCCTCTCTTCCCGGACTCTCTCCCCTCTCTCCCCACCCCCTCCTCTTCCTCCCTCTTTCCCTGTTGTTTTCCCTGCTCTTCCCCCTCTCCCCCTCTCCCTTCCCTGCTGTACCCCTTCCTTCACCTTCCTCCCGTCAGCCCCTCCCCCACTCCCAGGGTGCTTCTCCCCTGTGGCTCTCCACCCTCTGACCATTCCTTCTCCCATCTCCCCTCCCAGGTCTGAGAGTGTGGAGTGCTCTGCTCCTCATGCCCTCTGGACACCCAGTGCCTCCCAGGGGACTGGCTGTGGGGTGGGAGACCAGGCCTCAGGGCAGTGACGCAGTTCCAGAAAGCATTTGTCAGGATCAGCACTGGGTTATGGAAAGCCGTAGAAACTCCATCCCTGGGGTGAGACGCTGCTGTCCTTGACACATGGAAGACGAGTCTCTAGGAAAAGTGGGAGCTCTTCAGTCGCCCCCATGGGGCATGGCCACCCCGTCATCTTTGCCCATCCCCACAGGGCCCTCTGGGTGCACCTGAGATCCAGTCCTCCCCCCACCGGCCCCCTGTGGCAGTTACTGAGGGGTCCCCAGGCACCTATGTTTTCAGGGAGTCTCAGGTGCCTGCCCTACTAGGGTCACAAACACTGCTGCTGGCTCTTTCCTCTTCAGCTCAGACTTTTTTTTTTTGAGAGGGAGTCTCACTCTGTCACCCAGGCTGGAGTGCAGTGGCGTGGTCTTGGCTCACCGAAACCTCTACCTCCCGGGTTCAAGCGATTCTCCTGCCTCAGCCTCCTGAGTAGCTGGGATTACAGGCACCCGCCATCATGCCCAGCTAATTTTTTGTATTTTTAGTAGAGATGGCATTTCACCATGTTGGCCGGGATGGTCTCGAACTCCTGACCTTGTGATCTGCTCGCCTCAGCTTCCCAAAGTGCTGGGATTACAGGTGTGAGCCACTGCACCCAGCCCAGCTCAGCCTTTTACCAAAACTTTTGTGTTCAGGGAGCTTCTGTGTGCAAAGCCCAGGGCTTGGTGCTGAGGCCAGGGTGGAATGGTTCAGGGCTTGGTGCTGGGGCCAGGGTGGGGTGGTTCAGGGCTTGGTGCTGGGGCCACAGAGGCAGAGGAGTCTTATCCCTGGTGGTCCAGCTGGGTGCTGGGTCCTGGATGCCCCTGCCAAGGGGCACAGAGCAGCTGTTTGATTCAGGATTGGGATGGGATTGGAGGTGGTGGCCGGACACTTCCCCAGGTGGCCCTGGGGTTTTACTGGAGCTGCCCACCTGGCCTCTAGATTGGCTGGAAACAGTGGCTTCTACCTGGGGGCAAGACTGTAGGGGGAGGGGCATGGGGCAGGAAGAGGTCAAAGGTGAAGGGCTAGCTCACTCCCCCTCTGGAGTTTCTGGTGGCTGGACTGGTGGACACCAGGTCAGGCAGAAAGCGGCGACGCCAGCTTGGGGCGAACCCAGGTGTGTGACCCCTATTCCTCACTTTTCTAATCTGCTCTGATGCTGAGGGAGGTGGTGAAGACGGAGCCAGGTTGGCCCTCATTGGAGGCAGGGGCTGGGGGGCCGGCTCCAGCAGGAAGGGGTGGGTAGCTGGGGCGTTGTCCCCCAGCCTCAGGTGGCCCAGCGTGACTGCATGAGGCCTGTGGTCCAGAGGCCTGAGCTGCTGTGCCTGGCTGTAGACGGATCGTGTGTTCTGTTTGCACTGAAGCTCTTGTCTGGGACGAGAACTTTGTTTCTGGAAACTTGTGTGACGAATTCAGATAACCCTGATGGGGAGCCAAGCGTCAGCAGAGAGCAGAGCCTATGTCTCTGTCGTGCGGGATGTCTCACAGCCCTTCAGGCTTCTTGTTAGAGGTCTGGAGCTCTTGCCCCATGCTCTTGTGGGTGTCAGAAAGTTGTAGATTTTCCTGCAATTTCAGTGTGTTTTGTGAGGGTGTGATTCCCGCTCAGAGGTTCAGGAAACACCAGCAGGGCCCACAGTGGGCTCTTCCCTCCGCAAGGGGGGTGCTCCGTGCAGGGAGCGATGGGGAATCTTGGTTCCCTCAGCAGGGAAGGCCAGCCCTCGAGGGGTGCATGGGAGTCCCTGAGCTTCTCCAGCCCCTGGGGGTGGGGTCCTGTCTCTGGCTGAATAGATAAGAGACAGTGACACACTGGAACTTGGTTTTCAAAAGGCAATGTGCCTGGGTTTCCATGATAGCTGCACAAGGGACCCAGTCCCCTGCCAGGGTCTAAAGAGGGGCCTTTCACTCTGGAATCACTTAATCCCCGGCCATGTCATGCCTGAAGGTCTGGCTTCCACTACTGGCACCGTCGGGGTCTGGGGGAGGTCTCACTGGGTTCCTTGACCTTCACGAAGCCGGCAGGCCTGAAGTGACCCGGCTGTGCCCACCCCTGGAGTCACCTGCATTTGGGTGAACTTGAACGGGTGCCCGAGCTGGTGCGGTTGCCCGGCTTCCCACAAGAGGGCGCTTTCTCTTCTGACGTTTTTTGGCCTCATTCTTTCCAGCCAGGTGGTGGGAAGCTCATGGTGGTAGTTTATTTAAACTATGCAACATTATAGCTAATGGTTCTCTTTTGTGTATGGGGCTGGGTGGGGCTGTCATATTGTCTTCGGGGAAAGTTTCGTTGATCTAATCAATGATTTGGTTAATCAGTAATCATGATTCAAGTTGATTCCAATATGCCACGTGGTAACAGGCGCCCATGTCCCCCCTGCCCCAGGGACATATTCATCACCAGTGTGGATGCCGCCACCACCTTCGAGGAGCTGTGTGAGGAAGTGAGAGACATGTGCCGTCTGCACCAGGAGCACCCACTCACCCTCAAGTGGGTGGACAGCGAAGGTAGCCCTTGTCCCTCAGCCTTGTCAGTCAGCGTCCTCAGCCTCAGGGACTTCGCCGGGGGCCTCTGTGTGCAGTCTGCTCAGCCTCTTCTGTGGGGAGACTTAAAACCCTGGCATTAAGCTTGTTGAAGCCAGAGTTTCCCCAGCAGGGATGGTGGGAAAGAGGGTGGCCGAAAATGCTTAGAGCGGACCTGGGCCCAGATGCCCCTCGGAAGGGCTGTGGTCGTGGTCCCAGGAGGTGGCTGCGGGGGGTCTCCCTGGCCCACCCTGGGTGGTTCCTCAACCCCTCCTCCGAACGTCCTTCTCATGTCCTGGGCTTTTCCGTAGGTGCCTCTGCGAGGATGGCTCTTCGTTTTCTTTTTTATTCTTCCTCACATGTTCTGTCGTACACAGGCTTTTCATTTTCTAGGGACCAAGGGGAGGGCATGTGCAGCCAGGGCCTGCAGGCTCCGTCTCCTCTCTCTTAGCCAGACACACCTCCTAAGAAATGAGGGACTGGGAGATGTCCAGAGAGACCCCTTTCTCCAGGGACCAGCAGGCAGCTGTTGGCCGAGGACAGGGCCGTGCAGGCGGAGCCTGATGGCGCTCCGGTTAGGTTGGGTGCAGCCCTGCAGGGCGTGGGTTCTGTATACCGCCGTGTCCCTGTCCAGCCGTAGACGGCGAGGAGCTTTCCCTCTGCCCAGGAGAATGTCCTCAGACCTGCTCACTGCTGAGCCCTCCAGGCAGCGCCCAGGGCTGCGGGTGGACCGACTTCTCTTCCCAGTTGTAGACTCTGAGACAGCACAGGGGCCAGGTGACTCCCGATTGTGGACGGCTGTTCTTGGACCTCCTGACCCTGCCAGGAGGTGGCCAGTCTGAGCAGTGAGACTTTGCCCCCAGACTCTTGTCCAGTGTGCTCAGGGGGCCTGTCATGGCCCCCTTTGCCTCAGGCCTTCAGTGACCTCAGCACCGTCTCCTTCCCTGCCCAGGTGACCCTTGCACGGTGTCCTCCCAGATGGAGCTGGAGGAGGCTTTCCGCCTGGCCCGTCAGCACAGGGACGAAGGCCTCATCATCCATGGTCAGTGGCAGGGTCTGTGGTGGGTGGCTCTGGGGGGCTGTTCCTGGCCATGGGTGTCTGCCAGACCACCTGGGGGGTTGGAAGCCATATAGGATCATGGTTTAAAATCCCATGATGCCAGAGGCTTTAGGGATGTCTAATGTAATGCCATTGAGTTTTTTTGCTCTTTGACATTTTATGAGCCCAAATGTGAAGAGCCCATAAGCCACTCAGAGGCTCCAGTGGCCAGCGTAGGGCCTGCGGTGTGTGCGGACAATGGGGACGGCCCCACCAGCCACCTCGCCTGCCCCGTGCTCTCTCGGCCTGACTGCAGGCCCACAGTGGTCCTCAGCTTTAAGTTCGAAGCCCCATGATGAGCTGAGGCATGGGAGGTGTGACATGTCATTTCCACTGCTTTTGGGGGCACTTTAGCTGCTCCCAGTCCTGCCGGGGGTCTGCGGGGCGTCTTTGGGGCCTGCTAGTGTGGTTCCAGCAGCTGTGGCCAGCCAGCCACATCTGTGTCCACTTCTGGCTGGCCACAGACCACTGAGCTCAAGATGGGACGGGAGCTGGGGCCGCCCACAGTTCCCGCAGGTCCATCATTCTCCTGGACAGCAGGCTACTTGGTTACAATACTTAATCTTTGTAACCCTTTACATCCATGTGGCTTTACGTTTAAAGCTTAGGCCGAGTGCAGTGCCTCATGCCTGTAATCCCAGTACTTTGGGAGGCCGAGGTTGAGGGAATCGCTTCAGTCTGGAGTTCGAGACCAACCTGGGCAACCAGCGAGACCCCCATCTCTCCAAAATTTTTTGTTTTGGCTTGGTTTTTCCGAGTCTGTGTCCCCTAGGCTGGAGTGCAGTGGTGCGATCTCCGCTCACTGCAACCTTCGCCTCCTGGTACAAGCGATTCTCCTGCCTCAGTCTCCCAAGTAGTTGGGACTACAGGTGTGTGCCACCGTGCCCTGCCAATTTTTGTATTTTTAGTAGAGACAGGGTTTCATCATGTTGGCCAGGCTGGTGTCGAACTCCTGGCCTCCCAAAGTGCTGGGATTACAGATGTGAGTCATTGTGCCCAGCCAAGTTTTAATACTTCCTAAGCATCTATTTTAATAATTTACCGTGGAAGTCCAGGGTGTATGTTAAAATCATTTTGAATTCAGTCTTGAATGTAAGGAAATGGAGTCCAGTGTGCTTTTAAAAGCCAGCTTTGAAGGTAATTGCAGTTCTTCCGCATTTTTATATCATTTAAGAACACGAATCACTAGCTTCCTCTGACAGCTTTGCGGTCCAGGTCCCTCTGATTGGCTTTTACCCTAAATTTTTCCATGGGTTTTATAAAGTCCTACGTAATGGAGCCAGGCCTGCGTGGACACACTGGGTTTCACGTCCCCCAGGAGCGGGCTCTCAGCAGTGCCACGTGGGTCTCACGTGAAGTCGCACGCTCAGTGCTCAGCCTGACTGGGGCGGGACTTCCATGGGACTGTGCTGCATGGTGGCTGCGGGGCCTGACCCTCTGTCTCTTCCTCTCTCATCCAGTGTTCCCGAGCACACCCGAGCAGCCAGGCATGCCGTGTCCGGGAGAAGACAGTGAGTACTGGGATTACCTGCGCCGGTCTTGTCGTGCCAAGGAGGTGGCAATGGTACTGTCTTTGGAGGCTTGCCCTTGTGGAGTGTTGAGGTGTGAGCGGCCGTGGTGACCGCGGGTAGGGCTTTCACTGCTGCCCATGTGTGTTCTGGCTGACAGCACCGCGTGACGGGGACTTGCTTGGCTAGTTGGTAGCATGAGAAGTCCAGGGTGCCCTGCTGTCTCCCCAGGAGGGAGAGGCCAGGTGGGAGGCTGGACACTGCTCCCATGTGGCTGCCTCAGCTCATGACCACCCAGGCCAGCTGACCGCCCCTCCTGGCCCTGCTGGCCCCTGAGCTGGGGCGGGGTCTCCTTTCGTTCTACTCTGGCTCCATTGGGAGGAGAGGAAAGAGAGTGAGTCCCGGGGACTGTGGCTTCAGAGGCAACTTCCAACTGCATCCCGGAGACCGCTGGGCCCTGAGCAGGTGGCCATACTGCCCCGGGCCGTGCATCCCATGGCTGTGTTTGGTGCGTCCCCCCCGCCCCCCCGCAGCGTCTGTGCTATGCCTTGTTCATTGTGTGGGCAGGAGCTCCTGTACCGAGGCCGCTGCCTGTCCGGCGCAGGGCACATGGCTCAGTGTCCTTCAGGCAGGGTGTCCCCAGCCCCTGCTGCCAGGGTGCACTCCCGGCTAGGCTCAGGCTGGATGCTGGGCGTCTGCGGTGCTGTGTTGGGTGGGAACTGGGGGTGGGAGCAGATTCAGGCCAAGAGGGCAAGTGGGCGGTGGGGGTGAGAGTCTCAGCGTCCAGTGAGAAGTTGGGGCTGAACAGAGCTTTGGCAGTGCTTACTGAAGGAGGCCCCAGGGGCCACGGGATTTCCACCTTCTCCCCGGGGACAGGGTGGCCTTGCTTCCCGGTTCCAGGTCCTCAGTGAACAGGGGTCTCTGAACCGTTGCCTGCAAGGCCGAGGAGACATCCAGAGGGGGCCCTGGCAGGAGTGAAGCGTGCGGTCTGAGGGCTGGACCTGCCCAGGGCCCAGCAGGGAGGTGCGGTGTGTTCATGGCAGGTAGACACCTGGGACGGATTTGGGAGTGTGGGGCGCGTGTGAGGAGGCGGGGGCGATGCTAGTTCCTTTGTTTAGCCCTGGTTGTACCTCTTGGAGATGGGTACCGCCTGGGCCGGGGAGACGGAGACCCCGTGTGTCCTGATGGGAGGCAGATGGAGAGGTGATGACGTGTGAGAGGTCCATGGCATGGGGTGGGAGCGACCGGGCAAGGGTGCAGGTTGGAATTCGGGGGCCGTGTTGAGAAGGTGGTGGAGGGAGGGGGAGTCCCAGGGGTAAGGGCGTCCTGGGTCCTGTAGTGCTAGACAGAGACCACACAGGCTGGAGGTCCAGGAGCCGGGGTGCTCGGCCCACGTGTCGTTTTGCTTCAGGTGGGACTGAGGCCGGCTGTGAGCTGCAGGGGCCCTGCAGGGGGTGGGTCAGGGAGAGTTTCTGAGGTGGGGCTGTTCGGAAGGTGCCTGGAGCAGCTCAGAGCAGGGCTGGGTGGGAGCAGACCCTGTGACATGAAAACCCACCTGCATGAACCCCGACCCTGGGAGGGGACGGTTGGAGACAGGTGGTCAGACCTGGGGCTTCAGGGTCCTGCTCACCCCCACAGCTGCCCCGGTGACCCACACAGCTGCCGCGGTCACCCACACAGCTGCCCCGGTCACCACCACGGCTGCCCCGGTCACCACCATGGCTGCCGCGGTCACCCCACATAGCTGCCGCGGTCACCCCACACAGCTGCCGCGATGACCCACACATCTGCCCCGGTCACCACCACAGCTGCCGTGGTCACCCCACACATCTGCCCCGGTCACCACCACGGCTGCCCCGGTCACCCCGCACGGCTGTCCCGGTCACCACCACGGCTGCCCCGGTCACCCCGCACGGCTG